CGTGTAAAAACCTCAATGCAGTGGCAGCAGGGAATGCAGCTGCCACTTCCCCCCCTCCCCCAAGGGGTGGCATCCCCTGGGATGGAGCATGGTGCCCCCTTGGAGGTATTATTTTTCTCCCCCAATATCACTTTGGTGGGTTTTGAGGACTCCTCCCCCTTGGCTGCCCTCTGGCCTACTGACCTCATGCTGTGTTCACTAACAACCATAAGACTTGCCTATGGATATTCACCATATGTCAGACGTGATGCCATTAGCTCATAACTTCTGATATTGTAATACTGATAATATATATTATATACCATACAATTGATAATATATGAATACAAATATGGTGGTATATGGCAAATACGAGGGGTGATCAAAAATTTCTGGGACTGAATTTTTTATGACACTATGGTGACTCTTTCCAACTACTGATGGATACATCCTTCAAAGTAGTCCTCTTCAGCATCTACACAAATTTTCTGGCGTTTCTTCAGCTGCCAGAATAACTGATGACATGCGTCTTTTGGGATAACCAGCAGCACTCGTGGCACATTCACAATTTTGCTTTGAATGCCTGAAATCATAATTTTGGCATACTCTTTAGCTTAGGGGGAAAAAAATTTTTTTAAATCCTAGGAGCTAGATCCGACAAATTGGGTGGTTTACGAAGCAAGGGGATTTTGAGATAGGTCAGAAACTGCCAAAATAGGAAAATGAAAGATATTTCAGGACATTTAAAGCAGCATTACAAAAGCACCACAAGTGCTGCTAGTGATTCCAAAACACGTGTCATCAATTATTCTGGCAGCTGAAGAAATGCCAGAAAATTTGTGCAGATGCTGAAGAGGACTACTTTGAAGGATATATCCATCAGAAGTCAGAAGGAGTCACCACAGCATCATAAAAAATTCAGTCCCAGAAATTTCTGATCACCCCTTGTATATGATCATAAATGGCCATATAGAATCATAAACCTTGTCATATATGGAATTTCCACATGGGTAGATACTACAGTAAAAACTCATTAACTTGAACTTTTTGGGACTGGGCAAATTGTTTCAAGTTATCCAAAGTTCGACTTATCAGGAATTGCCTTCACTCGTAAAAGATAAAAAAAATTACTCACTTTGCCGGGAGATAATAGGGTGGTTTTTGTGTCCTTGAGAATCTGATTTCAAGGCATGATGACCTTTTCCTGATAATTGGCTTTTATTAATGTCTAGGGTGGATATTCCATAAGTAAAATTAATTCATTGCAAAGCCCTTCATCTGTTACTCTGGAAACTAAATATGACTGGAATGGCCAGAAGTGAGAGCAAAACACAGATGGGGAAAGTGCTGGAGTTGCTTCTTTTTATAGCAGAAGCTTTTCGGTTTTAATCTTCAGGTTTAATCCTCTCCAGAGGCATCTGTAAGGGAGGAGGGAGAAGCAGAAAAAAACAAAAACAAATGGATTTTCTCCCAAACAGGTTTCTTGCTTTGTATTCAACAAATTGATAGGTCCCACAATAATTTTTCCCCCTTTCACACCCCGATTTTGAGTTAACCATGAGAAAAGCCTACTCGGGAGTGAAAATATCATTCGAGATATCAGGAAATAAGAGAACCGAATTAGAGTTAAACTGAATATTTAGCATGGTGTCTTATGGGATTTGGTCAGGACAAAGCATTGAACTTAGACATAGGCAGAATTTCAACTTATCAAGATTCGAGTTAATGAGTTTTTACTGTATTGAAAAAGTCACTGGATGACAGTAATTTTTTCATACAAGGGATATTTATGTGCATTCTAATTTTGTGCCATGAATATTTATGAAGTACATCCAGCAGGTGTTCAGAAGGCATTGCAAGAGAATATCAGCTGCATATTTCATGCAGATTGTCAGTGGATCCCCTTACATCCATAGTGCATCTCCAGAGGATGCACATAGGATGATCTCTTGCTGCCTGATGTCCCACATAAAATGAATCTAGCACTGCAATAGGTCAGTGCTATGTTTCCATGAAATCAAGGATGTGGCCATATTACCCCAAATGAAGGTGGTCACATTCCCCCAGATTGGCATGCATGACAAAATTGACAACACTCCCTGCAAACCATAAGTGAAGGAGCTAGTACTTTCCACAATCATTCTGGATGCCCCATAGAATAAATTTGAACAAATGGTTTCTGTATCCATGCTGCAGCTAGAACATATAAGCCTAAGTTCTTCAAGGCTCATATTAGTTTCAGAGTCATGAGTTGAGCGATTGCATGCATACAACTTTCAAAATGTTATTTTATCCCAAATTCCTGTGAGTAGTGGATTAACGAACAGGTCTTAACTTTTTGCTTATAGCATATACTCTTCAACAGAACTATTTTATAAATTCAACCAAACTAATTTTTCCATCTGTTATGGGATACACTATGAAGGGCCATATTCCCCCAAGTTACCCAATATTTCAATCTTCAAATGATTCCATGAATGTTTTTGAAGGAGAACTATACATTTTGAGGGACATGAGGTTTTATGGAACCAGACTGTTTAAGCATGGAATAAGTAAGAAATATATTTAAAAAACCATTAATTATTTTCCAAGCAAGGTCTCACCAGGAATATGTCTGGCACTACAATATATCCTTAGTTTTATTGTGGTTCTCTACAGCAGTGTAGCATTGGAGGGCCGGGGGGGCACATGCCCCCCACTTGTCATTTTAAAAAAGTAAGAAAGGAAAGATGCATAAAATGCATCAAAGCATTGTCCAAGAGTTTCAGTCCCCCCCCACTATCCTTTTCCCACCCAGGCAACACTCTCTATGAGTTTATTTGAAGCAGGTGATATTAGGAAGGGTGATGAATTTCTTAATGAAGCTCCATTTTGCCAAACAAAAGATGAAAAAATCTGTGGTAGGAAAGTCATATCCCAAATGCTAATCCAAATATGCATACCATCTTATTCCAGTCTGAAGTTCAAAAGTTATTAGCATTATGAAGGTGGGTAGGATTTTGGACTCACCCTGTTTATTATTATAATACAGAGTGATGCAAAAGTCAGGACACACAGGCATTATGACAAATTTACTATTTTACTTTTATGTCCTTTTCAGGTGAAAGGTGTAAATGGCTAGAAAATTGGCTAAAATGAGCAAGTGCAATCAGTTTTTATGCACGCAAAAGAAGGCAGTACATACTGATCAGTTGCCAATGAATTTAATTTGTTACACACAAACAGAAATGTTGGATTTTCAGCCAAAAGAAAAGTGATTGAGCACTTCAAAGACACTGGAACTGTGCATGGCTGACCTTAAGGAAAGTCCTACAGTCATTTGTAAAGAGTATTGAAATATGTATTGATACTAGTGGAGAGCATTTAGAATATTCGTTAAAGTAAATATGTTAACCCCATGTGTTCTGACTTTTGCACCACCCTGTATATTTTACTCCAATCTATCCTAAATTTTTTTTCCAGCTATCATCATATGATTAAAGTAGTAGCAAACAGACTGAATATAGAACTTTAGAGGCCCCATTTCTTCTTTACTTTTTAATGAAGAAGGCAGACTAAAGGATTGTGGAAAGCACACCAGACTTGACCATTCTCTTGATCCGAATTGGAGCCACTACAGTTGCAGGGTGTCTCAAAAAAAAGCTAACACTCAAGACTTCATCTTTCTTATTGTATATAAAAACTAAGCTCCCTTTTGCTGAAAGCAACAGAAAAGTTAACAAATTCTGAGGCAAGACATTGAACCTCAAAATGGACATCACCAAAATTAAGTCATGCCAGCAAGTCCCTGTAAGCTGCCTAGTGGAGAATCCAAGCAATGAAAGCAATGGAGTGCACTAGCGATACCTAAGTTTCCTGTCAAAGCATGTATTTCAGTACTGCACTTCTGGGTGTAGTGTTTTTAGAAAATTTGCTTGGAAAATGGAAGAAGTTCTTTCTGTGACACAGAAGGACCCTTGTCTCTCATTAAGATGCTTGTATGGAACCTGATGGTGTTCTGACATTGTGAATAACTTTACTTTAGTCTAATCTTTAGCATCCTGAATCTCTCTTCAGAATTTATTACATGTCAAGCGATTTTGATAAAAAGAGAGCTAAATGCTTTGACAGCTGAGGATTTAGGCAGATTTTACACTTAAATTGATGGTCAAGCATTTTCCAGCAAAATTCCAGAAACAATTTGCATCAAATTTATAAAATAACAATAAAGTTGTTAACTTAAACAATATTGTATTCAAACATTCATAAAACTTTCTTTAAGTTATGCAATAGGAATATGTCAAACAAACTTACATGTTTTACAGTCTTGGTGTAGGAACTATACTGGCAAATATCAAAGAGTTTATCTTTTGTCCTTTATAGTGCTTCAGGTATTTTTTAAAGTTAAGTATAATGCAAGAAAAACTCAATCTTGCAATGTTGACTTTTTCTGAGACAGCCATTACAATGATAATGCAAATGATCCAAAGAAGGTATGGTAGTGCCCTTAGTTACAAGATACATCTGAGGAATATGCAGGGAAGAAGTATGAGGGTTGTCCAAAAAGTTCTCTGTATTGATTTTTAAAATGAGTTGCACTAGCTGAATCTGTATTAAATTTCGGTGAGCACTGGTTCTGTCTAATAGTATTCACTGTGCGAAGTTCAGTGTAAATTTATCCAGATTTACACTTGCTGCCAGATATTGCATACAGTCACTATGAACACCTCTGTCATCCAAGAATCATTCTTGAAACATCACATTCAAGTCATCATTGAGTTCCATGTTCTGCTCAACAACACACCAACAGAGATCCATCAACTGATGTCAATGGCTTTTAGCCAACACTGTCCAGCTTACGAGATGATCTGGAAGTGGTCAAAGCTCTTCCTGGGGGGGAAGACAGACCTTGAAGATGAGCCACGAAGTGGGCAACCAGTTAATGCTTCAACACCAGCAAAAAGTCCAGAAAGTCACTGACCTCCTTCAAGAAGACCGCCAAATCACCACCAGACCAAAAGCTTATGAGCTGGATGTCTCACCTGATATCGCTCACTGCATCATCACTGAAGAGCTGGGAAAGAAGAAGGTCGCAGCAAAGTGGGTCTTCTTCCTCTGGTCTTCCTCTGGCCCACTTCATGGCACATCTTCAAGGTCTGTCTTTCCCTCCAGGAAGAGTTTCCACCACTTCTGGATCATCTTGTCAGCTGGACAATGTTGGCCCAAAGCCATCTACATCAGTTGATGGATTTCTGTCGGTGTGTCATTGAGCAGAACATGGAACTCGACAATGACTCGAATGTGATGTCTCGAGAATAATTCTTGCACGATAGAGGCATCCATAGCAATGGTATGCAATATCCGGCAGCAAGTGTAAATCTGGATAAATTTATATCCAACTTAGCATAGTGAATGCTATTAGATAAAACCAGAGCTCACAAAAATTTAATAAAGATTCATCAAGTGTAACTCATTTTAAAAATCAAAACAGAGAACTTTCGGACAACCCACGTCTAGGGATGATAACAATTCCACTCATATCTGAAAAATCCACCACACATACTTCTTCTGAGCCCCCAGCTTGGCAACAGTTTCTTCAATTATATGATGAACCTGCTTCGTATCCAGAAGAGGAAACTGGGGTATGTGAACTCTAGTAAAAGCTCCTTCTGTAGGTTTAGGGATCTTCTGACTGTATGGTTGAGGGTTAGGATGTTCATTGTTATACAGCTGCTGGGCCAGTTCCTAGAAAATAAAGCATAAGAATGTGCTTTCTGAGGAGTTCAAATGCAGTTAAGCAGGGATCACAGTACACAACACCATTTTGCTGACAATATAAAGATTAACCTGAAACTCATAAACATTCACCTGAATGTGAAGATGTATCATGCGAGAGTCTTGTTGTTCCAAGCGTAGCCAGTCTGCAGATGAACTGTACAGGTCATCCCAAAGATCAGTTGGACGCCAAGGAGAACCTCTCTCATGGACAAAGGCAGTGAAGAACATACAATTCAAAAGCCTTGCAGTGAACTCGCATTCAATTAGGCCACGATGGCCCAAGAAGGCAGCCTGTCCATATAAAAGACACAAATGCATTTCAACAAGACACACATAGAATAAATACCATGTAAAAACACTTTGCTTGAACCTTGTGAAAAGTGATGACAGGTTTGGGATGAATTCTAATAATGGTGAGACAGCTTCGATATCCTTGAAGCAGCAGAGCAAATGTTCTCATGAGAACAGCACGAATTTCTTTGTCCAACATCTCAGGGGGTGGAGAACGAGGAGGTCCGGCAGCAAAGGCAGAATCAGATATGCCTAAGCCAGGATCTAAGACTTGACTCAAGCTTTGTTTCAGCTGTGACCACAGGGGCTCCGGGAATAATGGAATTCTCTCAGGCAAACTCAAAGCTCCTCCATCCAGATCAACCACTATCACATCTATCTGCTTCAGCAAAGAAACTTAGTGACAGCAGCACCAGCAATACATTACTCTAAATAAAAATTAGAACTCAAAATCAGTAGGTGGCACAGACCCATCCATCTTTCAATCATCACCTTGCCATGACTTTTGTATAGGTCTTCATGCAATGTATACCAAATCAATGAGGAAAAAATCTTTCTAATGATATGCACAATGTCATTATCAAAGCATGGAATTCCGAACATTGAATTATTAATACTGATAGGTCTTTGACTACTCATAAAGTAATATGGAAGGCTAAGATTTTCTTTTTGGAAATGTGTATTAGAGATGGATGACCTACTCTGACCATGAGTCAGCAAGGTTACTTACGAGTTCTGAGATTTCAGATTTGAGTGAAGAATGAACACCCATTATGAATGGGGTTGGGGTGGAAAGAACTTCAAGAAGTGAGGCAGGAAGCACTGGGATATATACATGGGTGTAGTGAAAGGGGAACATCAAGGCCGTAAGGGCTTGACAGCCCTCAGTCAGACGAGTGTAGCTGCTTGAATGAAACAGCACTTTATGCTCAGTCAAGGCAGCACAGAGGAGAGTCAATGTACTTAGAATACCTGTCATAAAAAAACAAGCAGTCCATCATCAACATACCTTAGAGGAATGGAAAAAGACACTAATACCTTTAATCATTCTTACCAAGCTCCTGGAAGAGTTGAGCAACAGTGTTCTTGGTGACAGGGAGGGATTCATGTAGAGGAGGCTGAATAGCTTGTCTATCACCTGCACCAAGGCTGAATCTTACTTGGGGTCCACCAGCTGGGGGTACTTGAATGCAACCCAACATATTCCCAACTAAAGCCTCCAGAGAAGCCCCTATATTATTGTCCATGTATCCAGTATATATAATCCCCAAACAGTTCTGAAAGTACCAACATATGCCTGAATTAATTAGCTAGACCTATTATACAAGGAACTGAGAAAACTTCTATTGATTACTGGCACATTTTCTAAGAACTTGCCTTAAATGTCTCAAGGTAATCCAGCCTTGATACAAGCACTAAGCACTTTGGGGCAAACATCATGGTGCTCTGTGATATACCAGTAGGTGTGGCGCAGCCTATTGAGCATTTGGAGAGTTTCTCACTCAAGTTCGTATAACAATCATACCGCTTGCCATTCCCAAAAAAATCCAAGCTGTCATCATCCTGGAGAAAAGTCCAAGAACATCACTTCTCATCATGCAAAAATGAATTCAGAGCATAGATGAAGACATGCTTAATGTATGTAATAATAGCAATGTCACTTGTAGACCAACATACTTCATCCACTGGTTTTGGTGGAGTGATGGAGACAGTTTCATAAAAAGTAAGGCAGGCACAGTAGTGACGGTTGGCATCAATGTCTGTAAGAACAGAGACAAAGTATCTGGGTTCCTGACGCTCACTGCTCAGCATCCATCCTAAAGGCTGGCAGAACTGGGGGAAAAACTCAAGTTAGCATATTACATTACTGCCCAATGGGCAAAGATAACATCTACAACATGGCCCACAAGTCACTGATGCACTTTGCTACTGATCTACAGGAGAATCAGAGTGGGAATATTAAAGGAAAATAATTACCTTGTACTGTGAAATAGAGTGAGGTAAGGGAATTTAGGCAACCATTTGTTTTTTCACTAATATGTGGTAGTGGTTTGCTTTTACAAAGGATGACCATTTGAATTACTTTACATTTGACATCTTGCAGAGAAATAGACATATACACTAGATGCACACATGCCATTTTTTATAGCATTAGAAATGGCAAATGATGCATCTCAGTGACCCATCCATTAGAATCCTTCAGTTGGATTCTAGAATGTTTTACAGCAGCTAATTGAGTCAAATACACAATACTAAACATTTCAAAGCATTATGTAAGGTTGTTTGGGTTGCTTTGGACAAGAAAGTCACAGAATTCCATTGGCCTACTCTTTTCCATTTGTTTAAGCAAAAAAGCATCATTTCCCATGAAACACTTGTAATCAATTGCATCAATCTTGCAATCGAGAATCCAAGGCCTAAGCAAAACCTTCTTTTACTATGTAAATCACCTGTATCCTTGTGTACCTAAATCTCTCAATATACTTCTGTGATTTCTTTCATATTTCTGCTGATCCTTTTAGTTGGCAATCACACTGTCAAGATCTTTTGTACATTTCTCTTCCTTCTTTCTCTTGCAGTATTGTACCACCACTTCATATAAGGGAGCCTATTTGCAGGAATAGTGCTACTTTCATGAGTTGATACCCAATGAACTAAATGACTGGGGCAAATGTACTCAATAAATACAGAGAAAAGAGGGTCATGATGTTTCTTAGAAGATGATTAGGGAGAGATTGGTTGATATACATACAACCTTGGAAATGCAAATGGGAATGTTTGCCCTTAACCGATTATTTTTATTCACCAAAGAAAACTTTTTCAAATTTTCCATTTTTCAAATTATCATGCAAATAAATAGAGAATCATACTTACTTTAGTCTAATTCCATGCAACTATAAAATTCCACATAATGTTTAATGTATTGCACTATTTCAAGCTAGGAATAACCACATTTCTGGAGTGACACATAAGAAAGCTTATCTAATTCTGCCATGATGTTCCACATCTCTTAGAACCCATCAATATACATCCCTCTTGATAAATCCCCTCAAAGAAAATTCATGGTAGCAAGGTTCAGAGATCATGCACTCCACTTAATAGGCACTTGATGACCAGGCCAACAACTTGGAATTTGCTTTTTTCCAATTCTGGGAATGGGGCAAGTGTTCCATAATCCACATGGTCATACTTACTTGCCAGTGCATGAAACAGTGAATTAATAAACAGTTCAGGTTATGAATAAAGAAGTATTTCTTTATGGTGTCAGAAACAATTTTTATCCCAATTTCACCACTCATTTTTCCATGGATCAGTGATGGAATGTCAGTAACTCATGGGTCATGCTGTATATGCTAGGACCACCACAAATAAAAAAAAAGGGGCCCACTCGGATTGACAGCACTTCTTACCAATTCAATTCCTTCAATGAATGGGCAATCATCCCAATCCTTCTCAGGGAAACGTTGAATGATTTTGCCAGTACTTAGTCCATTCCCTGACAAAGTGAGAAAAATTGTTCTAGTTTAGTAAACCATTAGGCTATTCATGCTATGAAGAATACTGCATTGGAGGTGATGATAAATGCAAGCAATCAACTCACTGTCCTTCTCATGATCATATCCGATGACAACGAAGTAATCCACGAATCTTGTCATAACTGTTTGCCAACAACTTCCATGCAAATATTCTTATTTGCAGGAACATGCATAGGCAGACAGAAAGATGAGCCACAAAGATAAACCTAAAGAGGAAGGCCCATGTGATCTAATATGCAAAGCACTTTTTCTTGGCCCTTGGCTGCAGTTTCCTCAGACTGAGAAGCATGCAAGTACAAAACGAGTAGAGGGCTGGGAAAGGTATGATCACAAACAGAATCAAGCAGAAACCTCCTACACATTACTGTCCTATTCCTGGTGGTCTGGGAAAGGATGCAGGCTGGAAAACTCAGATCCTGGCTTCATGAGTGATTGTCATGGATATATTTATTTGCTCTCGGCAACAGCTCTCTTCAGAATGAAATTCATGCTTATACTTAATAGGAGAGCATTTCTGAAAGAAATGAGCACGAAGAAGGAAGATAAAAGTTTTCCCACCCATGGCTGCCCCCAATTCCAAGTGAATTGGGCACGGATGCATGCGGGCTGAAAAATTACAAACGTGGCTACAGAAGTAATTTCCAAAGCTGATTTCATTATCATCTCAAAATTGAATCAATTCTGGAGTAAGGGCTCCGCTCTTAGCAGTTAACAATATGGGACTGAGGAAGGTCGGGACGAATGAGAAATCTCCAGCGGGGACTATGTTCAAAAGGAACCTAAAAGTTTTCACTTTTTCATCCACGAAAAAACACTATAAGAATGGGCCTAGTTTCCTTGCACGGTCCCCACAGAACCCACTTATGATCTTTCCATCGTCTGCAGATGGAGAACGCCATGATGACTCCAGCAGGGCTACATAAGGCAGATACTCCAGTTCTAGGAGGTGCATACCAAAAGGCCATGCCGCTAACCAATAGCGGCTGTGTGCGTAAATATATCAAGCCCAATCGGTGGTTGTCATTGTCTTCAGACCATTGTCCTTCACCCTCAGTCGTTTCATTGCTGCGACGGTGAAAATACGATTTTGGTGATTTTATTTAAGTGTATTTTTCCGGACTGGGTTAAAATATGAGTTTCACAATTGAAGAGCAAAGAGCTGTTATAAAATTTCTCGCGGCACCCGGAGAATAGCCCGTTGACATTCATCGCCAGCTGAGGGAAGTATGTGCGGAAAATTGTTAGAGTTGTAAGTCGACGAAAATCGTCATCCGACGTGATGATACCCATTCTGTAATGATATGGATGGCATTGAGAGGCACGATTGAATGTCCCGGGTTCGGTGGTGTAGTGGTAGCATACCAGGGGTCTTTTTCACGAAACTTCTTTAACTTTTCTTTAACTTTTCTTCTTTTACTTTATCTTTACTTTATCTCAGGAGTCAGGAGAGTTAGTGATATCAAGAGGCGATTTC